CCATCACGATAAATCTCTCAATTATTTAATCAACCAAAACAACACAAGTTTAGACATTTATTTACTGGAGAAAAGAACACCTTAAATATTGATAAAGTGACGAAGTTTTTGTCCAAAAATAATAAAATTGAAGGGTAACCGATCACCTTTAATGCTTTTCAGGGATCCAAGACTTCTTCTTTTTAGAGGAATTCCTCTATTTTTCTGGCTGTTGTTAAGCTTATTCTTTTATTTCCAAATAAAACCATTTAAAATTTAGTTTTAGGAATGAAAAGATTTCTGTATGGGAAATGACTTGCAAAGCATCTTAAGATGGTTAAATCTCCCCCTGTACCCCACATGAGTACATCTGATATTTTCCAATTTCTCTATTTTTTTCGTTCCTCACTGGGATCCCTGGATTTTAAATCAGACCCATTGAAATCAGACACAAAATCGGTTAACTGATTAAATGTTTAAACACTAAAAGATATAAATGTATTATAATATATGGATTTGTGTTTCATTAAAAGTAATCATGTAATGTAATTGATTACTTTTGAGAAATAAAGTAATCCAATTGATAACATTTTCAAAAATAAGTTAAAAGTAATGAAATGTAAGTACCGGTATGAAAAAGTAATTGTAATGTTTACATTTCTAAGTATTGATCCCAGGCCTGCCATGTCCATTAGCATTAATCATATTTTTGATTTTAATGTATGTATTTTCAGGCCATGGCCTCGTTTGAAAGAAACCAAAGGTCCATTGAGTTCACAACAGCTCAGAAATATCCTATACGAAGATTTGAAGTTTCCATTAAAAAGTTTGTCAAAGTCTTAACCATTGATTTAGAGCGGCTGGACAAACACAGAGTCAATATTGACAGGGTTAGTCAGATTTTACCTGATATACTGGTACTGGTACTTACAATACCTAAGCAGTAATTTTGTGTTGGATTGCCTTTGTACTAGGTGTAAAAGGGGATACTCTCTTATAGAAGCACTGGCCTTGGTCAATAAAGATGAAAATTTGAAATATATATTTATACACTCAAATTTATGAAAAGTTTAATTTCTTTGCATTCGTAAAATCCTTATTTTGGGGTATTTAGTAGTGTGAACTCTGCAGAGACCAGACAATTTTCAATTTTGATCTTTAACAACAAATCTATTTTTAGTTAACCCATCAAGAAAACTGGACATTACTCAACAAGGAACAAGTGAATGCCTCACGGACAGTTCAACAAATTAAAGCCAATGTACGGGAAATAGAAAAAGCACGAGGACAGATAATTGAAGATGATTTACACCAGTTTGATTTGTGTATTGAAGAAGTTAAACTAAAAGCCATTCAGGCTGTTAAAGATTTTTTAGTTTTAAGTCAAGGTGGAGGATCATCTCCATTAGGTAGGTTAACCTCACATAAACGCAGATATAATGCAAGAAATTTTATATATACTGCTATTTCACAGTGTTTCATCATATGAAGGTAATTTTTTGTGAAAAGATGTATCATTTTGAGGTCAAAATATGATACTTAATTGATAATTTTGAAATAAATAAGTGTTTTTATGTTTCTTTGGCCACCCTTTATTCAATCTGAGGTGATCTATTGTTAATATGATATGATCATATCCAGTATACCTGATAACATAAGAGCCTTTTAGAAGAGCTGACAGTCTAAAGGGAAGGTCTTATCTCTAATCACTTAGTTATGTAATATTTTGAACCACAGGTGAGCTGACATTGACACCAGGATCTGAATCTCCTCCTCCTACATCAATATCTACAGACTATACACCCACTCCAGCTTGTGATATACCTATTAGATCTAGTGGAATATCACCATCAGGTTCCACCTCCTTTAGTCTTCCATCTTCCTCACAAATGACTCAGATACAACTTTATACCAATCCTCCAGCCTCCACAGTTAATCCTGAAACACTGGCATCATGGGAACATCTTCAGGAGGTAGGTTCATCTCATCGAGTACTAGATTAAATTGATAAAAAATGCAAATCTGGATTTTGCGTTTCATTTTTATCATTTGACTTGTACTGTAACCTGCATAAAAATACACAACAAGCATTTTTATGTCTGGAAATCTTACAACATTTGTTATTTGATAAAGTCATGTTAAGTCTGGGATTTTGTATATATGGGACATAATTTACTTTTTTCCAGGATTTAATTGATTTAAATGGAATGATCAATGATTTTGCCACCATGGTAGAGGTAATTTTTATTTTCATTTTCATTCTTGAAAGTATAATATACACAATCTATTAAAGTAAAATTTGTCAAAATATACACAATACAAGAATGAATGCAAATGCAAAAATACTTACAAATATACACATATATAGGCACATACAAATATTGACTTGGCTTGTTGCTAACACATCTTGCTACTTTAAGAATTGCCAAAATCTTCTTACTCAATTTATTCTGTATTAAAATCACTAACTATTCTAGGAACAAGGGGAGAAGGTAGATAAAATAGAAGATAATATAGAAAAGGCTGAATTAGACGTTCAACAAGGGGCATCTCATCTTTCAATGGTAAGTACTGTGCTTTGAGACAATCTAAATGGGTTAATCTAAGTCAGTAGTCAATATGTATAAATCACTGAACCAGAATCCTGTCACTCAAAATAACTTCTTTTTTTTTTGTATTATTTATAATATATATGATATATATAATATTAATAAAAGTTATAAAAAGGTTCTGAGGTAGAGATCAATTAGGCCTGGAATGATCGATTATCAGGACTATGAATTTATAATTTCGATTATCAATTTTCATTATTTACATTTTCTCCCATGTATCCATTGTTGGTCAGCCATCTTTTCCACAAAGTTTTCCTTCAGCACATTACTAACTGTCGATAATTGAGTAATTGATGTCCATTCCTAGGATCATTCTGTAAATATAGAAACAAAATATAAAATTTTACCATTATTTGACATATCGTAGGCAGCGAAATATAAAGCAGCCATATTTCCAGTTGCTGGAGCTATACTGGGTGGAATAGTAGGAGGTCCAGTAGGTTTAGCTGCTGGTATTAAATTAGGTAGTGTTGCTGCAGTCAGTGGTGGTGTTGCAGGTTTGTTCCTTTTTTTCAAAAGTGGAAAATGAAATAAATATGAAACAGATTCAAAATCCTGCTTTTTATGACTGTCTAAATAAAGAAAAGATACAATGATAAAGTAGGCTGGTGTAATGGATTTTCTAATTTTGCAACGCTTTCAGAGAGTCCACACAGCCAATTATGTTTATTAGATTTTTCAATATAACAACAAAGGCATAGTGTCCACATGACAAATAGTTACAAACAGATATTGGTGTTTATTGGATGTTTGATTTTGTCATAGTATTCACATAACCTATTAACCTCTTGCTATTTCAGGATATTTTGGTGGAAGAGCAATTAAAAAACATCAAGATAGTGTGACGGACATGGAAATGAAAAATTTAAGCAGTAACCATAGTAAATCTGCTGAGAATATTTCTTCTTGATACTGATAAACAAACATTAGGAGATATCTGACTCATACTACAGCTCATAAAGATGAGAAAGACTTGAAATAATAGAAAAAAATGTCACTATGATGAGACTGTCAACCTAACTCATTAGACAAATTACACCAGTGTATTATTCTCTCTGTTTTTAGCCTGGTGTTATACAATACCATGGAATTCCTATAAACAGACAATAACATAACATCAGATGGTTTGTAACATTGAGTTAATTGATGTGTGGTGTTTCTCAATGATACAACAGTTGACCATTTGATTTGGACCACAGTTAGGTGTTCAACAAGTAATGGTCACTGTGTGTTCTTATTATAGGTTGTTTATGTTTAAACCTGTGTGAATGTGGTCACTCACAATATTATGTGCACAGTATAACTTGCCAAAATTTAACGATTCATGCATTATGTGATAATGGAAGGAAAATGATGGAAATAGAATCAATTTGTAAATGTGCTTACTGCCCCAATGTTATATTAATATGGTGGTTGTGATTTCAGTCAGTATTAAATAAGGATTGTTTTAACTTTGTATTCTGTGATACTATGGTTGTTTTTTTCTCTTCTGGGCTTATTTTATTGAGTATATAATAGGTCTGGATTTTCAGTTTGAAGTCACAGGTAATGGTAAAATGTTTGACTGACTAAAAGAGTTGATTAATCAACAAGACTGGTTAACTACCATATTAATAATGTGTTTTAGAGGTTTTGACTTTAATAATGTATAATAATTGTTAAATTATTGTTCTATAGATTTAACTATTATGATGTACTGAACAGTAGACCTTAATTAAGGGGTGTGAGTTGTATGATTACATCCCAATCAAGTTATACTTAAGTCTATTGTGTAAAATGACCTTATGTCCTCCCCCAATTTTCAGATTGATTGTGTACTTATTTATGTTGAAAAGTAAAGAAAAATTTCACATAATACTATTTTGTGAGCAATTTTGTCAAGTATATGTTGTGTAAAGAAGTTGTATAACAATGACCTTGATATCAAGAATCACCTTTGATATATGTGATAAGATATTTATACACATTAACAGAGGATTCAAAACTTAAACAAGAAATATTTTAGGTCAAAAACATAGTGATTGAAATTTGACTTGAACTGCATTAAGTGAACTGTTTGTTTTAGGTTTTGAATCAGCCTTTTAAATATGCACAAATATTTGAGGTGAATGGAAGTATATGTTAAAAACTGCTTAATATAATCTCCACATCTTGATATTGTAATAAAATTACATGTATATATTATCAGAGCACAAAATAAACATGTTCTATCATGTGATCTTCTTTACATCAAATGCAAAGTAGATGTCAACTATAAGTTCAGAATTAGATACAGAAATAGATGCCTCAGTAGAACCTCATTGGTTGCCTCATCAGAACCTGGAGGATACCAATTTAGAACCTAAGTCAATGCTTCATTAGAATCTCATTGGTTGATAGAGTAGAGCTTCAGTGGTTGCATTATATTGTTAGTCTTCTCACATCTATTTTCTTATATTTTCTTTGTAAGAAAATTTAATATATGAATTTGAACTGTACAATTAAATAAAAATAATTTTATTAAATTATTTGACATTTGCATCATTCAGGCATTATTGTGATTTATTCTTTATTTTATTAAGAGTAAAATTTGAATAGCAAGAAAAAATGGGTATTGAGTTTGAAAGAGTGTAGAATAAGTTGAAATATTGTTCCATGATCTAACTGGATAATACCTACTAATTTATCATCTTCAATTACCGAATGTAGTGCACATAATTAACTTAAAACTTACATAGTCTAGTTAAGTGAGATTTTGTTAGCAGGTACCAGTAGCCTAATACAATCTAACAAATTGTGGATTGTGAGTGTAGTTGTAATGTGAAACATAATATATCTACATTTTTATCAGATTGTGTTCCTAGTTCCAGTTTCTGATAATTAGGTTTCTTCTGTTGACTCCCTGACTACTGAAAATTGCCATTGCAGTGGACTGGATACTGTATATTGCTTTATTTGGAATGGTGACTGAAATGTTGTGTTAGATAAGATAAATTAGATAAACCTAAATATCTACCCTATTTCTAGATGTATATTTATTCAGAAATGTTCATAATGAATTTGATTTCTGATTTTATGCTCCATTTATGATTTGTTATGTCTCTTGTTTTGTCAATAAATTCTATACAAAATTAAACATTACATGTTAAATTTTGCTTTCCGTAATCTTAAAGGGAGGTTTTCTAATCTTGGTATGTGTATTTGGGATAGCATTGATTTACACCATTAGAATTTTCAATCAGACGATTGTGGTACTTGTAGTTTAAGTAAAACTAAGTATTATTATTAGTAATATTATAAGTAATATTAAGTTACTAATATTGTCTAAGGATAATTAAATGGATAAAGAGTTTGCATCGGTCTGGGTAACTTGAGTTCTTTCCCTTGGACATTTTATTTCAGAGAGCCTCTGAGAGGGTAATACTAATACAGGCCCATAGCCTGACCAGTACTCCTGAGGGGCGGGGCGGGGGGGCAATTTAGCAAAGCACCTTGACAGACGATTAAACGTCGGGAAACGGACTTTCATGGAGTATTTTAGATTCGGGATTATTTGTGTTAAAACACACAAGTTATGATACGTTACATTTTTATTGCCGTTTTAGTTTAAACGTAGTCGGGTATGTTTTATGGCAAAACGTTGAACAAATACGTCCAAGTTAATTTTCTGGGTACGCTTCCTGTGGAAGACAAGAAGAACAAGATTGCGCTGGTGAAGCTGAGTCATAGATCGTCGTTGTGGTGAGTCAACGCGAGTAAGAGTTGAAAAGCTGCTTCCACACACAGCGGTACTAGAACCGAATGTGGCAACGCTTGCAGCCAGTGCATATAATTTATGGAAAGCCAATTTCTGCTCGTATAGTTTTTGAAGAACAAGATTGCTGATTGGAGTCCTGCTTTTCTGTATCACCTACAGCGTGCTTCCAATCTGTGTAGCCTTCAGTGATGAATTTTTATGCACCCGCAGATGTATTGTGAAACACTCGACATGGAAATCGAAAAGGGCGTCCCTTGACACTGAATACTACAGCCATGGAAATCGATCATACCAGCTGTTACTAAAATGGCGACCAGACTTCGCTGGAAATTTTATTCTCGGTTGCTTTGGAACGTCTTCTTTTCCAATTTCACCTGGTATTGTCTTTTCAGAGCATCTTGGTACTGCATCCGTTGTGTTGCCCGCTGTGGTTTTGATACCAGTGTCAGTCGTAGTAGTGTCGGAACCATCAAGCAATTTGTCTTTTTTGATCAAATAATTATCCATTTTTCCTACGTTTGGTTGTTTGATTCATATGAATACAATTTAGGATAATATATGTCAATTAGTTAGTATTTATAATCAACCAATCAAATCTTTTGAATTTTGAGACGGGACAGATTACAATCCAGCATCAGACCAATAATTTTGTTACCAATGACGCTTTACTGCAGACTTTTTATGATTTTCAACAAACTCAATTGTATGAAATTATCTATTCTAATGTAATTAAATTTAAAAAGCTATGATGTCTGGTTTCATCCTCAGCCAAGTATAAACAGAAAGATATTTAAAAACAGTTCTTAAGTAGGCCTACAGATAGGAATACTTAGTATTTTGTTGCACCTACTCCACCATAAAATGTCTGACCAGAATGACCACTGTTTGCTATTGACTCAGACCCAGTTACCTCCCGCTCCTATTGACTATTAAAAGGTGTATTTTAAAAAAGTGACAGGTACATTTTTCTAGGGGGGGGGCAAGATTTGATTTAGGGGGGGCAAAGTTGTGTCCAACCCCACAAGAATTGTGCCTTTTAGTGTCTACGAGCTAAAAATTGAAAACGTTTTCAAGAACAAGAATCTTTGAATTCCAATATGGTTTATCCATAATATCATATCAAATAATCATTTCGTCATAATCTGTCAATAATTGTGCCTTCTTATAGTGTTGAAGACCTAAAACTTGA